GGGGGGGGGGGGGGGGGGGGGGGGGGGGGGGGGGGGGGGGGGGGGGGGGGGGGGGGGGGGGGGGGGGGGGGGAGCGATTGATTGTGGACATCCGTGCGGTCTCCCTTTAGAGAAGAGCGCGCAACCTTTACGCAGTCTCCCTTGAATGTTGAAGTGTGGGAATAACAGAGGGGTTGGTGAGAGCCTCCACGGGAGGGGAAACTCAAAACGGTAGCTGCAGACAGCAGCCCCTTTACGTGGGCCTGACGGTGTGAAACAGCTATGAGTAGCTATGGCGTTTGTTTGCTGTGTTGCATCTCCGAGCGTAATGTTGTGTGTGGAGGGGTGGTAGTCATTAGACTGCGCGAGGAACTACGCTACCTGGGTAGTTTGTGGCCTGGGGCGAAATCGGTCAAGTTTCGTCAGTTGAATGATCTCGCTCACTTTCGTAGGATTCGGATACAGTCGTCCCCGCTTTAAAGACACCATTTTGAAGACACTCCTCGCTTTAAGGACACAGAAAATCTCAGAAACATGGTGCCCCGCAGATGTGAAAGAGTAGGGGGCGTAGGGTTTCCACCATTCGACCCCCCCCCCAGAAAATGGTTTCGAGAGCAAAGCACTTTTATTGCCAACGTTCGTTGTTTGCCTTGGGTGAAGTCTCGTGTGTTGTTTGTGCCTCGTTTTGACTTGTTGGGAGGCGCGGTGTCCTCTTTGTCGCTGTGCTTTCCCGACATTTTTGGTCTCTGTGTTTCTGCGCAATCTACATTTTCCTAGTGTCGTTTTACAACCTTCAATATTTCTCAGGTGCGGTAGCGAGATATTGGGCAACATATTCACGGTGAGGACAACGCCAAAGAAAAAAATAAAGCAAATATTTAAGCCCATATCAACACCACAGCGCACTACCGTCGTGTACATTTACGATGCGTAGGTCGTAGAACGCCATCGCTTTCAGCGTTTTGGTGGTACGGTACGGGGAAATTCAACGATGGTATGCAAGTATGTATTGCAGCACAATAGCAGCAATGGTTGCGAAATTCAAATCACCTTGTTTGTGTCGTAGGTTTCAAACAACACCTCTTGTGGTCGCCTTTCTGCTGCGAATGCGCACCTTTTTACATATGTTTCGCCTTCATTGGCCCCGGGGATGGTGCGTTAGTGGCCCCGGAATTTTAAAGACACTTCCCCGCGTCAAAGACACTTTTTTGGGGGGGGAAACGTGCTGTGTCTTTCAAGCGGGGTCGACTGTATTCGGATGTGTATCTTGCGATGTTAGCCCCAAGGTGCGCGTGCCATCCCCCTTGACATCGCAGGAGTTGGAGGCCTGCCCTTCATCCTAGAGAAACGCGCAGAAGTAGTAGGTGATGTGATGTCCGACGGGAAGCCGCTGCTCTATGTACTGCCTTCAAGGTAGAGAGGGGTGCTCAAGGTGCCGCTGTTCAACTTTTCGAGAAACTGAGAGGGAACGAGGCGTCACATAACGAGAAGTAGCCAGATGACAACAGATTCTCGAGAAACGCACAGATGACAACAGATTCTCGAGAAACGCACGAGAGAGAGTACATGTCAAAATGCAACAACGGTTCGTTCACAGGCCTCGCGAGGGTAAGCATGCCAAAGCACGAAGTCAACAATTGACTGCGGGGGCAATCATTCGGGGATATCCGAGCTGCGGGCATTTGCTGCAACCAGAGGCCATGCTCTGGATGACACGAACGATATCGGCACTTTCGATCCAACTGCATGTACAGTGACCAAATAATTGTCCGACATGATGAGTGACAGACCCTTCGTGTGGCCGCAACCAAGGTGTTCACCCACCATGCACGTGCATGTTTCCAACTTGCGTGCCCGTCTAAGTGCGACGATGCCGTGCGTTTCTCGGACGCCCGCCACCGCACATTGGCAAACGCTAAACAGACTTCGCGGGTGCGCCCCCGCAACTAACCGCGAAAACATCTTGGAGAAATCATTTTCTTTTTTTTTCAACCTACTCACAAACTCAAACACGAAAAATGAACTTTCACATGCTTCAGGATTGGACGTTGGAACGCATTGAGAGGAGATGGGCTTGATTGCGTCTAGATAATCACGAAACGCGAAGGCCACTCAAGGCGATTTTCCGGGAGCAGACCAGGGGCCCGAAGGGAAACGGTGAACACGCCGCGATTTCCTGTATCGCACGACGACTCGATCAGGTATTCGCAACATGAGCAAAGCACCCGTGGGAGCTGCGGCACAACGCAAAAATGGTCGAAAGAACAAATTACAGGAACGGGGAGGGGGAGGGCTGCATCCGGCACTACCGATTCAAACACTGATTCGAAACATGACATTCATTCCAGACCGCTGGGACAACATCCCTCGAAGCACACATTTTCGGACTTCAACGACAGATATACGCAAGTGCCATGCCCGTGTATCCTAGGACGGGGCACACAAGGGCGCTATGCAAATGTATGATACAAACCAGCCGCCCCAGTGTAGCTCTAAATACCAATACACTTCAGAGGCATACGGAGGTAGGTTCAGCGTTGTACCCCCGCAGCCTCGTCCTTGGCTTTCTGCTGCTGGATGTCCTGGAATCGTAGCGCTACCCTGCTCGTGAGCTTGATGTACTTCTCCGCGCACACGTTAATGCACTTCGTCTCCCCGTCATCCAGTCTCTTGCTTCGGAAGCTCTGCGACGAGCGCGAACGGCACAGCGCGGCAACCAGACAAGTCGGGGAACCGGATAAGCGCACGTTACGTAAGATATCACACACGCCGGGCCGCTTGTCAAGGCTCGATTACTCCACACAAGAAAAGGTGGCGGTGTGCCGAAACTGCGGCGTTGGACCCGCTGTTTTGTTGAGAACGTTCCGAAAAAATATCATTGTAATCTCGCATCCTTTTCGTCGTGGAGTGGTCGAGCTTGTGTGTAAAATCTGTCCCAAAGGTGTGATATCTTGCACATGCACGGTAGAGTACTCGAGACCTCAAAACTTGTGGAGATCGCCAGAGGAGATTGCTTCCGATGCGTGATGATATGGTTGCCATCTGGTAGTAGAGAGCTACGTTAATCCCCTAGCAAAAAGTGCATCAATGTACGCCCTTGGTCTCCCCCGTGCACCTAGCCGCTCGAGCTGTGTGTTGGAGTCGGCCGGTAGGTGGAGTCGCCACACCGCGAAAGAGACTAGCGAGATTTGCAGCTGTGGGTAAGGGGTATGGGGGCAGAGGTACCAGCCTGCCGACCGACGAATTGCGCAGACTAAGTACTATCGCCCAAAATGACGCACGATGAGGCTGCACTTGGTGCCAAACGCGTGGGGCACAAGGTCCACAAACGTATAATCTAAACCAGGTCATGTCGCCAGAGAATCAGCTACCGCTCACGCTGGAGACATGCACACAATGTAAGGTCAATGGTCAGGACGTGCACACAGCCTTACCTCCCTGTCCGGCGCAAAAACACAACAACCTTCGCAAATCTTCTGGGCTAGAGCACTTTTCAAGCAAGGAACGGTGACGAACAGCTACTAGATCGGGAGGTGGAATAGTTTATTGTTGAAAACGTACCTGCAGTAGGCTCGTGCGTTGCTACCATTGGCCCGTTCGCTACACAGCAGTATGACAATATATTGATTGAGGTGTGGGGGGCGCCAATCAATGTGATGGACTCTGAAAAAAAATGTCTTGGAAAAAAAAGACACCTCCACACGGACTCGAGCCTATGTCAGGGTGGCCTTCACTGAGTTCACGAAGTGAAATGGCTTTTTTACAACGTCGTTGCCGAGCGATGAAAGCCCAATCCCGATGGCAAACACCGAGGGGGGGGCTTGTTTCACAACTTCGTTGCCAAACGACGAAAACCCAACCCCGATGGCAACGCCGGGGGGGAGGGAGGTGTACTCCGGGAGGGAGGGAAGGGTGTGGTATATAAAAAAATAGGGCTAGCAGCTAAAAAAAAAAATGTCTCTGCTGTTGTGCTTCGCTTGTTGGTTCGAGCTTTGATCGAGAAATCTCAAAAGCGTTCAAGCGTGTGATGGGCAACCAGGCTAGCACGGGAGGCACTGGTCGCACACTAGGCCTTCGCGCACAAAAGTGTAGAGAGGCGTACAGCAGTACATGTCGCACCGATGGTGGTGCGTAGTAGCGTCTGTGTTGTTGGTATCATGTGCCCCTCTCCGCGAAAAGAGAGAGAGAGAGAGAGGCCACTGCTGCTGAGGCTGCTGCTGCAACCAAATGTTGATCTCTCCTCTCGCTTCCTCCGCCGATAGCTAACAACAGCAGTGTATGGCACACCCTTCTCCCGCCGTCTCGCCCTCGCTGTGATTTGTGTCTCCCTCTCCCTTTTGTTTTTTTTTTGTTTGTTTTTCTCCCATCATTGGACTCTGTCGTCTGCCCCTCTGGCCCCTATCCTCCACTTCTACTGGCTAGACGACCCAACCGAGGTCACATAGGAGGGGGGGATTCGACCCCCTCCTGCGGTTCCTGTTTGTCCATGTCTGGCTCTGTGTGTGTGATGTGTGGTGTGCGAGGCTATCTGTCTTGCTTCAAAATCAAACGACGCCTCCTCTCGGTGTTACAAGGGGCCAGAAACTTCCCTGCTTCAAGTTGGGTACCGACGCTGCACTATCTCGACGCACCGAGCACGGATTGAAAAGGTAGCAGTTGGGGCAGCTCGGGCAAAATATTACTTGTTGTGAACACGTCTTAGATTGCAATTTGGTGCCGAGATGGTGAAATGGGCTGGAATNAGAACACCCCCCCCCGCCCCCCCCCCTCTAAACAGCTTTTCTTTGAAAAACAAAAAGCGTCCCTATCGGGCCACTTCTCTCAAAAAAAACTATTATAATAGCTCTTACCTTGGAGCATTCGTCGAAACATCGAAACACCAGGTTGTTGTACATGGCAAGCGAGTCTTTCCTCTGCCGTGTTTCCCGCGTTGCCGAACCAAGTGGAGGTCGGGTGAGAGAGACACAAGAGTGCGCGGGGGGCGAGGGTCGGGGCAGCGCCGACGTCACGCCTTGCGACATCGTTTCTACGCCAATTGGGACGACGTGAAAGGCATGGCAACCATAAATCTCGTGATTGTGGCCGCCAGGAAATTAGCTTACTTCCTGGATGTTTCAGACACACATCGTTCCGTCCCGGCATTGCAGGGATGCGAGGCCATTTGCTCTAACGACAACGGCATGCGTTTCGTGAGTGCACCCCCCCAAAACCAGTGCCTAGTTCCTCTGCCCGTCTTCGTGTGAACCGTTCCCACCAAGAGGCAACAGATGTTTGTTGCCTAAAGTTGTTGCCTAATGCTTCGATGCCCACGGAGCGATTCCCTACCCGATACTGTTCTCAAGAGGAACTAAGATGCTTGTTGTCCAAGTCAACTGCCTACTGTCCGTTCCTAGCCTTCCGAGGAAGCACCTTCGAGAGAACCCCTTGTTTGCACAACCATTAGCGGTGTAGTCTATAACATGAGCCGCTGCAGCTGTGTGTTCCGTTACTCACCTGTTGGCTCTCCAAGTGCTGCAAGAAGTCCTGCTGCTGGACTGGCGTCATTCCCTGAAGACCCTCCATGATGCTGCGCCTGGCATAATGCGATCGACCAAGGACCAGGATGAGATGTTTGGCACACAACGAGAGCTTCACCATCACAGCAGAGACGAAATGGAGGGAGCTGGGAGAATTTTGTGTTTCGATCCTACTCGTGCTGCGGACCAGAAAAAATGCAAGCGAGTAGGTTTAACTATCAGCTACATGGATGGGTCAGACCCGCTATTACCATCCTTGCGCCTAACACCCTAAAATGCGACTGAACTCCGCCCTCAATTAACGTATTGCTGTACAACCCAGCTTTGAGGACGCTTTTTTTCGGGAAAAACCATGTGCGTCCCTGAAGCGGGGACGAGTGTACTGCTGTCGCGGGTCCTGCAACGAGTTACCACTGCTGTCGGAGATATCAAGCGTACATGGAGGGCGGTGTAAGACAGAGCAACGTGCGTGGAGGATTGGGTACTACAGCAGTACATAACCACAGCAATTCTCAGACCACTGATGTACTATTGAAGCAACCCTCCTGCAGTTCAATACCCATATCATCACCGTTTGTACACTTGCTCGAACGAACTCTGGCGTTGCTCGAACGAACTCTGGCGTCAACTCTCAGGGCTACCGACTGCTGCGGTGCTGTGTAGCGCGAACAGCAGTCAGTGTGTTGCACCTCAGCTGCAGTTGCCAATCTACGCTGTACCCGCGGCTTATAAGGAGGAGAGCAGAAGTCCATGCAGCATTCGGTCGATTTTTTCTGACTTTCGTCAGGTAGCACAACGCCGACACGAGTGGGGAAGGCCAAGCCAGCGGCACTCTGGCAGCAGAGAGAGCGGCATAACAGCACTGCTTGCTGACAGCAGTCCAGGGCGGTTTACGGCGGCCTTGTACAGCAGTATTTAGTAGCACTTTGTTTCCTGCTCCATTTCCGCAACTACGTAGGTAAGACCAAGCTACTGCACGACAGAACTGATCAAAAACAACAGAAGGCAATGACCACCCACCTGCGACGTACCCGACGTGCCTGCAGTGTGTGTTTCGGTACGAGTAACCACGCTCAACGCAGCGAGGGGGCTCCGCAGAATGGAGTACCCTCGTCTGTGGTCTCCACTTTTCCCATTTTGCGTCCCCCGAGGAAGGGCAGAGGCAACAGAGACTGCACGGCGGAGACCACAGCAAAGGTTGGCGGTGCTACAGCAGTGGCGATTGCCGAGGAAGAGGAACGAGAAGAGAGCGGAAAACAGGCAAACACGGGCGAAAACAATGGACGCCCTTCGGCGGGAGGCACACCGCCTGGAAGCCGACCTTGAGGTAAAGTGTACAAACCGCCGTGCCATGACTGTTGATCATTCCTTTCGCAGCGGTGTTCTTTGCGTCTGCTGTGCTCGCTCGCGTTCCCCCCCTGAGAGTTGAGGGTGTTGCCGCCTGCTCCTGTCGCAAAGAACCGTGTGTATACATTCGTGTTCCGCTTAGCTTCGAGCTTGCCTATGGAAGACCTACACAATAGTATGCATGGCAGTAGTGGTAGGGAAACTGTGTGCGTGGTTGCTCCGCACTCTCCGTCTCGTTAGAGTGGAACGGCCAGCTCCGGCGTGTTGCGGGGGGGAATACAGTAAGCATTACACGACGCGTTCCACGAGTAGGCTACGACTTGCAGGTTTATCGCTTTAGACTCGAAAACTGGTCACCATTGGTGGTTGGTTTGGTTCTCCGTCACATACATTCATGAATTCCACACTCACTCACCCTTGTCGGCAACCGGGCAAAAAGGGTGCGGGGTAATGGAGAACGACGTTGTCGTGCAGTCTTCGCGTACACATTGGAGATACAAAATACTTCGCGTACACATCACAGACAATAAATAAGTTGATGACGAAAATATACACACCCCGAGACACGCTTGCTCCGCAACCACATGAGGGTGCCATAATAGAACACCCACCCCACAAACCGAGTTCCCCTAAATCTTCCGTCTACAACTTCCCAACATAACACACAGGTAGATACACAAGATGGCTACCAAACTGTCTTGTTGAGCCTGTTACCCACAGGGGAGATATCGTTGTATGCTATCTGGGAAACCGTAGACATACAGGTAGCCTTTCGCTCACGCTATGGATTCATTGCTAACCTATCTTAGACTTATTTCTATAGATAGAGATGGATTTGTTGTGTGATACTAAGATATATATATACTCGGATTATATGCTACGGATGCTGAAGATATCAGTCGGCTGTTGATCCTGCATCAAGTTGAGAGCGCAGCAGCAGCAACAACACGACCACGAGTAAGCGGTACATGGTGCCCTGCCGGCTCTCGTTGGGCCGCCGAATCTCAACACGGCACGGGCGATCGGTTCTTCCTTGGCCTGTTGAAAAGGGAAGGCGTGGGCGTCCAATGTTTGGGGTGGCGGCACATGTATTGCGCTATCACGCTGGCAGGCTCTTGTCGAGAGCGTTTCTGCACAAAGGGCTGATTCAAGTTCCTTGTAATATTCAGAGAGGGAGACATGGGCCAAGGCGAGAGGAGCCTAGCGCGTCCAGTCCATCACACGCATCACACTATTTGTCATCTCGCTTTTTTTTTTTTGTCTCTCATCATTGGACTCTGTCGGATGCCCCTCTGGCCTCAATCCTCCACTTTTACCAGCTAGACCACCCAACCGGGGTCATATAGGAGGGAGGAATTGGACCCCGTCCTGCGGTTCCTGCCTGAGATATTTTTATCGCGAGAAGGATACAGCAATCCCTTCCCTCGCGACTTATGAAGTCGATCAAGTTTACTAACAATGAGCTTTGCCGCGCGTCGCTTTCAACGGAGACCAGGATTCAACTAGCGAGAAAAAGCTCACTCTGTCGGAACTCGAACCCATGACCTGGCCCTTAGCAGACTGCAAGGCTACCCACTAGACCACCGGGGCGTCCGGTGTTGTATCTGCGTGGTCCCCGGAGATCTCGGAGATCTGATCCTGCGGAGTACACACACAAACATCTTAAGCCGGCGTGTACGTCATTATCTACGTGGCGTCGACTGCGCCAACCGGCTTGCGAACGAAAATATGCCGGCCTTGCAGTACAGCCGAACAATCGATCATACACTATTGTGCGGTGGTGGGCCCGGTTGAGCGACCGCTGGTTTTCCGAGGGGATATCGCTATTCACGGCAGGTCGTTGTTGCCGGCCAGCGGGTATACGTCGGGGTGCAGCGGTGCCACTCGATTTTGTGGTCGCTATGCAGTAGATGTCGCTAAACAAAGGGTCACTATACAGGTCCCCCGCTGCAATTGGTCCCCACCTACAACCGCACTATCAGGAGTGTCCCGCAAGGGGGGAAGGTGCATGCCTTTTGAACGCCTCCGCCGCCGTGGTGCTGGTGGTGGTGCTGTACGTCGTTTGACCTACTTGGGAGCCAAGCGTGTAGACACACCAGAGGCTAGCTCCGTTAGGTAACACCTCGTAGAGCACGTCGATGTCGCCAGTCGCTTGGCCTACATAGCAACACTCTTTCAGGCGGAGATTCATTCGTTCTTGCCGCTACCGGTGTGTTTGGCTTCGGCCGGCGTCCTGAACCGTGACTGGAACAGACTTCAACACACAGCAGTACCCCCTCGTACGCCCCGACTTCGAGCCTGTAACCCTTCAGTGATCCCATGATACTGTGACCACATGATACGGTTACGTGTTTTTTTTTGTCTTCCTAGGACATCACCAGAACGTTTTGTCTTCCTGCAGTGTGGTGGTTTACCTTCGCGCTGTCCAACATCCTTTGGGTTGGAAACCTCTGACAGCGCCGCCACGTAGATACACTACCGGTCGCCCCGGTGGTCTAGTGGGTAGCTTCGCAGCCTACTAAGGGCCAGGTCATGGGTTCGAGTCCCGGCAGAGAGTTTTTTTCTCACTGAATAAATCCTGGTCTAGGATGAAAGCGACGCGCTGCAAAGCTCGTTTGTTAGTAAACCATAATCGACTTCGTAAGTCGCGAGGGAAGGGATTGCTGTACCCTTCTCGCGATAAAAATACCTCAGGCATGAAAAGCAGGAGGGGGTCCAACCCCCCGCTCCTATGTGACCCCGGTTGGGTCGTCTAGCTAGTAGAAGTGGAGGATAGGGGCCAGAGGGGCAGACGACAGAGTCCAATGATGGGATAAAAACAAACAAACAAAACTGCTGTACTGTAGTATGTTTCCTCCACCCTCTGACGTGCCTAACGGCAGGGTGTTCCACGCAGATGCATGCATTAATCCCTGATAAAATTTTCGGCCATTGCCAAACGGGGGCCCTCTCTGTGTGCGCTTGCGTGTGTGCTGTCGACGCGGTAACTCGTTGATCCTGCGACAGGTCAAGACACAATCGTACTCGAGGCTGGCCCAGCGGGTGAACTCGGACATCCTCTACGATGCAGGTGTGGCGCTTTGAGAGAGCTACGCCATGACCACACTTCTAGAAATAGTTAATTCCCATATTGGCGATGACTCGTGATTTGTTGGGGCCAGGTGGTTCAGCAGCTTCGGCCCTATCGATATCCCTTGGGGAAGCAATAATGTCCGCCCTCGCCTGCTGCAGAAACACACGCCTTCCAACGCGTGCGATTGGCGGCCCCACCATGTCTTGTGTTTTGTTTTTTTGTATTTACAGAGGACCCAGTGGATAGCACCCAGGAGCAGCTCTTGGCGGGGGAGATTGACGAGCTTCTATCCGCGGTGAGCGTATGGCGGCTATCGTGAGGTCGACAGTTTTCATGCTCGGTGGTTTTTGTTTGAAGCGCCACGGAGAGAGTGGGAGAATCGTGACTGCAGGACCCCCTCCCCCCGCCCAAGAGGCACGACGTGTCAATCTACCTTCAGACCCTTCAACCCCATTTTTTATCTCTTGGGAGGATGGTTCTGATTGGGTAGTAGTACACTTGAACTGCTACATGTGGCCTTGGTGGGGGCGTCGTCGGAAACAACATGGCACTATTTTTATTGAGGAAGCACGCCGTGCAGGGGTTTCCCCTCGTTGTCGCGAGGGTGTTGAAGCGACGACCACAAGAGAGTTGACCTCATTGTCCAACTGTTGTTTCGGCCGCCTCTCTCTGTACCATCCACCCGTAGAACACCATGGTTGTCTCCGCCGCCTCCGGGTGCCTTGCACTCTTATTCGAGCCTTCCTTTTTTGTCGTTCTCCTTTGAACGAGGCCAATCTTCAGAGTCTTGGCTTGGATATGAATGGCGTGAGGGTAGCCACGCTTCCCATTCGTGCACAGCCATCACTGTGCTATACCCTTTCCCATGTAAGGTCGCTTTCGCCCACGTGTGAACGTACAGCAGTTTTAGTGATCCCTGTTCAAGGCTGCATTAACGAGGTCGGTCGCCCTGTGCATGGCCGGTGAAACCGCGCCATAGACGGAACATTCAAAATGTCCCTTCGCTGGAAAGTGCCGGGTGCCGGTATATTGCCCGCCAAATCCCTTTGCGCTACTACGCGGCCTTACACAGGGACCTCTGCTGCTGCTGTACCATGCTTTCTTTCTTGCCAAGCGTCCCATTGGCCCTTGGTCGTTACTGTATGCACTTGGGTGACCTTACTATCCTTGGAGGTACTCAGCCGGCATCACCCCTGTGTTGGTGTTGTCCGCTTCGTCGTGCCCGCTGTATGACCACGCCCGCTGAACGATCTTCTTGTTGTCTCCCTTCCTACTGGCTGAAACATTTTTCGTTTTGTATAGCTGGGAGATTGCAACGAGCGAATGGGCGCCGAGGTTGCCAAGGGGGCACGCAAGGCAGACTCAGCCATGCTGCAAAGGTGAGAGCCCCCCCCACGCACCCGGCATGCGTCATGTTATCCCCTCCAGTTTATGGGATGCACCATGGGATATACTGCATGGTATGTGGTTTTTTGTGTTGGGTAGCGTTGGGTGATGCCGTTACCATTCGTCGGCCAGATTCCTCCTGCCCCTTGCTGCAGATAATATTAGCAGGCGTGGTGGCATGGACTATATAGCCTTTGTGTTCGAAGTGTTGTTACTGCTGCTGTTGTTGTTGTTGTTGATGTTGATGTTGCGGACCTTGATGCTTCTGTTGATGCTGCTGCTGCTACCGCTGTGGTGGATGTTGGTAATGTTGCCGACATGAACACTCTTGCGATTCCAGGGCCTGGCATGTTTTATTGTCCGTGCTGTTTTTCGGGTCACGTGGTGATGCATCGCGTTTCTTTGCCCTTCTATCGCTGCAATACCCCTGTTATAATAGTCCAACTCGTTCTCGTGCAGCGTACAGTACTCTCTCCTCGCTGCTTGGCGGTGCTGGACGTATGCATCCCGGTCGCACAGCCGAAGGCGAATGCGCTCCTCTTGTGTCTACCGTAGGTTTGTTGATTTCTCTTGTCTCTACTAGTTTGGTTGGTGCTTGCGCTCTTGGCGGAAGATTGATGTCATCTCATCTGTGGATCAACTGCTTGGCTTTCTGTTCTGTTACCCGGCGTTGGTGTAGGCGGTTTTTTGTAACCGTCGCAGCCGTCTGCTGTGCAGCTCGTGAGGCGACTGCTGTCTGGAAATCTTCCCGTTTGATGTTTTCGCTGTTCACCGCAATTTCCGGAATTTCGAAAGCAAGCCTGTCTCTACAAAGTTGAAGACGAACCAGCAAACAAACAATGCCTACGTCAAATGTCCAACCTGATCACGGTGACTTGCTGCCGTCTTTTCCGCTGAAAGACTTTCCGATTTCGCTCTGTGTTTGCGACAAGAAGGACTCCGCTGCTGGGAGGCTCGACTCTCCAATCGGCTTCCCTTTAATCGCTCGATGCTCGTGGGCTGCTGTTGCTGTTGAATCCCAGATATCGGGAGATCCTTTTCGACTTCTCAACGGAGTTCAAGAAGACCTCCGCGGCGTTGCAGCGCAAGAGGGATACTGCGGAGCTTTTCAAGTCGTCCAGGTGAAGCCTGGGTTTTGAGTTTAACGTAAGGTTTCGATGTGATGGGGGGTTTCGCAAGCTTGTGCGATGGAAGAGGCGGCTGGACGGTTCGAGTCTCTCGTGCGGGTCTTTGTGCACAAAGGATGTCCCTTTGGCAAATAGTTGGTTCTAATTGGTTCTATTTATTATGTTTTTTTTTTTTTGTGTTGGGCCCTGAGAGCGGAAATGGGGCCTCGTGCCTTGGACTCGTCGCTGATTCTAAGCGTTACTGTGGAGTGACCTTGTATGGTTCCTTCCAGCTTTGGTAGAAAGGAGGGCTGATCGAAAAAGCATTTTGAATTCCACCGCCTCCTCCCACGAGGACACGTGTCTTGAAGGGTTACCGCCAGCGTGCTGTCGCTTGTTGTGACCACCTGCCATCTTTACGTGCAGACGTCATGTTCCAAAACACCAACCCCTTCCGACTGCGCGCCAATAGGTGCCTCTTGCTACACAAGTGATAGGCGTGCTCTCCGGCAGAACTGATCTTTGCTTTTCTCCCAGCTCTCTTTGCCACACATCTCGCGGTGCTGCGTACATCATTTTGCCTGTGCCCACAGGTGCACTATCCGTGGAACCACATCGTCTAGAGTATCCATCCGGGTGCCCCAAAGTTCCTCCGCTATTTAGCACTGGAAAGAACCGTTTAGCTACTTCCTTTTTGTTGTTGTTGGCAGAGCCGATCGCGGCGGGGGCGATGGGACGGGGGATTTCGAGCAGGAGCATCTCCTCCGTGAGCAGAACGCCATCCACAACTCTCTCCAGAGCGCCACGGGTGTGCTAGGGTGAGGCCCACGGCCGGCTGCTCTTGTAGTTGTCGTGGTCGCTGTCCTACAGTCGTCCCTGCTTGCTTGTTGTCCGAGGGTCCACAAGCAGCGGGATCTGTCAAGCCTAGAGGCTCGACAGGCCACTTGTACGTGACCCTTGGCCCGGTAAGAGCAACGAACGATCTGAAATTTTTCGTCGTGAGAGCGGTCTCTGGCATAACCTGACCCCCCTCTGCTGCTGCCGCCGCTGCTGCTGCTGCTGCTGCTGCTGTCGGGGTGTTTTTTTTTGGCAGGCAAGCCGCGGAGGCGAGGGAAAGCCTGAGGCATCAGCGGGCTACCCTGGGAGCCGCATCGTCGACATTGTCGTCCATGCAGGTGCGTCCTACACAATGTCACGTGAAGCCTGGTAGTAGACTATGTACTCGTGTATGAAGCGTTTAGTTTTCCTCGAGCCTGTTTGCGCGGCAGCTGTTCGCGATAATATTTGTCGCCGATGGGTTCACAGGAAGCCTATATGGCGCGTTTTTCTGTTCCGAGAGACCCTTACACGGCACGGCATCTGGAAGCGATATTTGTCGCCAAGAGGTTTTTTGCCCACCTCCTCGACTTGTGGCTCATGCTCAGCTCTCCCTCGGTTCCTTCCAGACGTTCTTCTGCCGTTCGCTCGCCGATTTCGATTGGTCAGCCGGTCTCGTTTTGTGTATTCCGCCGCAACGCCGTCTTACGGTAGTTCTCTCTTGTGTTCCGCCGCAACTTCTTTGCGGGCTCTCTTCGTGTATTGCGCCACAAGGCAGTCTTACGGAAACATCAAATGCACCCATGGATACGCACATAAGCCATGCACCTACAACTTGGCAGTCCCGCCCCACCCAAGAGCGACCTAGCCCTACTCCAAGGCCCACCAACCCAGCACCTAGCCACGTCAGGACCAACCTAGCACCTATCCAGGAAATATCAAACTAGATTTCTCCCATCAACGCCAATCTAGCACTTATCCAAGCTGAAACAACCTAGAGTTTTCCCCGTCAACACCAACCTAGCCCTATTGCAGGCACAACAACCTAGGACTGAGCCACCCAGCGCCAACCTAGCACCTATCGGGTGGGTTTGGGCTTGGGGTTAGGGTTAGTGTTACGGTTTTTAGCCGGTTTCGTGCCCCTGCCAAAGCAGAGCATATGGTGTTTAGAAGCACAAGAAACGCCTTTGATTGAAATAAACTATATAGGGACACGTCTTCAACATGGGCAGGCCAGGGGTTCGAGCCTCGGAACATGTTCCCCTTGTTTTCGCCTGCAGGTGGTGTTTTCGGTCCGTCGAGGGCATGGGTGCATGACATATTTGCGTACCCATGGATGCATCTAACTTTTGCTAAGTCTTTCGGTCTGTTCTTTTGTGTTTCGCCGCAGTATTTCGCGGTCTTGTCCGTGCATTCCACCGCAATGTCGTCTTATGTCTTCAGGTAATTCTTTCCTCTGTATTCCGCCGCAACTTTGCGGTAATTTTTGTGTGTTCCACCGCACCTCGTCTTCCGTTTTTTTTCTTCTGTGTCCCCCCGCCCGGATTTGCCGTCTTCATTCGTGTGTTCCTCCGCAACGTCCTCTTCGCGGTAACGTTTCGTGTGTTCCCCCGCAAAATCTTGGCAGAACCGTTTCCCGGCAATAAACCGAGTCGTAGAGGCGATCCAGAAGAAGAAGGCCAAGGACCGATTGATCATCGCGGCCGTCATGGCCGCTTGCATATTCTTCACGTTCTGGTACAAGGGCTGGCTCTTGTAGGCCACCCCTGCGGGGTTCTCCCAGACGTTGTGTTGTTTTTTTGCCAGCTTGGGGTGGGGGGGAGTCGTGGTCTCTCTCTCTCGATGCGGCGTTTTCTTGGCAGCGAAAGCTCGCTATCAGGAACGGGAGCAGTACGGCCGGTTTGTGTACCAAGCAGCTTTGGGGATGGTTGCTTCAGTTGCAGGAGCGAGTCGAGAGGGGGGGGGGGGGGGGGTTCAGTCAGGTGCGACTTTATGGTACTCCACGGACCAGTTTTTTTTCTGCGAGTTCCGCCGTGATGTGGAGCAAATCGTACGTCGTCGGGAGGCGTGATCGACGTATGCCCAACTTTGCTGTGTAAAGAGTCTATTATTGTAGACGTCGACCGGTTTTCGCGTTCCGGCTTCGACGCCCGCATAGCGTGTGAGAGTCTAGTAGACGCTCATCGTTTTTCCGCGCGCCGGCTTCGACACACGCACGCACTCCTTGGGCCCGTGCAGTTCTCGCTTGGTCGTAGTGCCCTCCAGATATTGGTACAATTTAAGTGAGCAGCTCGGAAGGGCGTGTTTTTCCTTGCAATGGAGTCGTGAGCTTGGTCCTCTCCGCGTTGTACAGGTACAGTAGTAGCGGGGATGTTGTTTGAGTGTCGTTCTGTACAGGAAGAATGGTTGCGACCTTCTTGCCCAAGGTGTAGTTTCAGGCGACGGCGCCAAGTAGTACTAATCATGTGACTATTTTAATATTGCGGCCGTATTCCGTACACAAAACGAAGGTGTCTCGCCGACCTTTGGCGGGTGCTCGTGGAGCACTCTCCCGCTCTTTTACAGGTTCACGGCGAATTGTGTTCCTGTCGAAACAGCATCCAAATCGACGTTGTTGTTGTTGTCTGCTGTCAAAGAGATGTCCTGGGCCTTGCCTCTCACCATACCAGTCGGTGACTGCCTACCACGCTCTCCTTAAACCAGCAGAGTGGGGACGTGAAGATGCGCGGAGGCTTGTTTGTCTGTTTCCGTGCACCTGTTGCTGATGACCCTGTTTTTGGGCGAGGTGGCGTGTTGTCTGCGGGGCGTGCGCTCTGGGAGCACATTCATTTGTTGTTCGCACGTGTCACGCGTTTTTTTCGGAGGCGCGATTGTTTTTTTTTCCCGCATGGATGCCCGTGCGTATGTCGCCCGTGTGTCTGTTGGTTGCCCATTTATTGGTGGTAAGTCACATGACACAACCTTTTTTTCTAGCACCTGGTTGTGTTTGCCTCCGCTGGCTTTTTTAGCTTCACGGGGTGAAACAACACGCGTGCCTGGTTTGTTTTGGGCTTTTTTGCTCAATTGCGTGGTACCGCCTATTTCTTCAGAGTGGTGGTGGTGGTACCCGAATTATACGCGTTTATTTTTTCGGCAAGCCTCAGGCGGTCGGGTGCTGCTGTTGTGAGGCAGTGTCCGGTGGCGACTGCTTATTTCTCCCCTGCTGGTTTGTCGTCAAACACGGCCTGCGCGGTATTTTCAGGCCGTGTCGCCCGCCGGCTACGGTTTGTCCCATGGGGGAGTCCCCCTGTGTTGTTGTTGTTGTGTATTTGAGTATAATTCGGTGGTTTGGGTTGTAGTATGACCCTATCGCTGTTGCCACCACTAATGCTGTTTTGTCAACAATCTCTACGACGTACCAACGGTCCATTGATTGCGTTCGCAAGATCATCTCTACCCGTTACCCACGGTTAACGTCACACCGCATCATTATTTGTTTCCCAACATTTTCAACGTTCGTCTTGTGTGCTTGTTAATCATCTCATGTGTTATGTAAACGTCGTTGTCTGAGGTTGGGCTGAAACCAGCAGCGAGTGACTAAGACACTGAGACGTGAGTGTTCAAGTTTGTCGAAACGTGCTTGAATCCGAACCCCATACCAAATACAAGTATTATTATTGCTGTTAACAACGCATTATCGAGAGGAAACAAATTCTCGCGCTAAGTAGGAAACGTGCGTTGTCCTCAGTTGTTTCTAGAAAATACATACACAGAAAGACTACCCGTTCGAGATGTGCTCCTGACAAGGTGGTGACGAGAGCGAAGGCCACAACAGCAGTCCGCAGGCTTGTCAATGAAGAGCAGCTGACTAAAACAAACGCCGTGTGTGCCTGACGCCACTTTCGATCGGACCATCCATCCATGTGACGTGTGACCCTCGTGTCAGAATCAATGTAGCAGGTCAGGGCCTGATGTTGATGCGACCGTGTCATGTTCTATTTGCGGCAGTGCTTCTTCGACACGCGTTAATTAAAACTGCTGGTGTGCTCACCACCTCTAAACATTGAGCTTTCGCAAGAGCCCCAGAAATACTCAGAACTCTTTTTTTTTTTTTTTTTCCAAATACAACACAACGAGTCCATTTCCGTCAGAGAAAAGAGTCAAAGACAGATTAGCAATGGAATCATAGCGTCAAAGAAAACTACCTGTTGTGTGTCCACGATTTCCCAGACAGCATATATGGACATCTCCCCTGCGGATAACAGGCTCAACAAGACAGTTTGGTAGCTGTGTTGTGTGTCTTATATATGTTATGTTGGGAAGGTGTAGACGAAAAGTGTTGGGCTGTTAGTTAGT